CAGTTGCGCTAAAGAAGGACAGAAGGTGACGGTGCAATTGCGCATCAGCGATTGATTCGGACATACCGCGTATACGGATATTTTGGCGCCGTTCCCTGTTTTCTAAATCCTCTTGCTGGAGCTGCATTTGGGACATGGAATGCTTCAAATATGCGTTATCCTCCTCCAAAACATGAACGTATTGCACCAAATCATCAAACTCAGTCTCCAATTTATCCGTGCGGTCTCCAATCTGAGTTATTTCCCCTCTGAGATCTAATGCCAGCTTTCCAATTTTAGTGGATATGGATGCGGTAATATTGCGCAGAAAAATTTGCAGCTTGTCATCTAGCGCTGAAAGTGTGAGGGAAGGAGACGGTATGGTTTGCTGAGATATCTGGGTGGAGGGAGGGATGATTTCCCGATGCAGAGTATTCTGCTGCCCCCCCAGTTATATGCTGGGGATCCCCAGTTTTATTATGGGGATCAGAGTCCTCCATCTGGGGCTGAGTCAGGGCAGAGGCAGGCATGGAAGCTGACAGGCATGAAGGTGCAGTACCCTCCGTGACCACCGGGGGGGCCGGGATCTCTCCCTGGGTTCCTGGGCATACTGGAGGCCGGGGATTGCGGCCTGGACAGGAACCGCCGGAGCGGCGAGGGCCGCGAATCCGGTGGCTACGGGAAGGGGGGCTTCCAGCGCCCTATCTTCCCCATACAGGTCTCTCCCTGGAGCCGGGCCGGGTGCCAAGTGGGTGTGACTCACCCTTATTAGCAGGGAAGCAGTGGCGCGTATCAGGTGAGTCCGTGCTGGCCGGGGATGAGCGGAGCTCAGCTAAAATGCAGCCGCCATCGTCCCTGGCCCGCGCGCATGCGCCCCCGAAGTTCAGACTTTAATAGCAAGAGCAAAAATCCCTGCTGGTAGAATGGTGTCCGGTTTTGGAGATTCTTTTGGATCCTCGAACATACGTGAAAGCGCATCTGGTTTAGTGTTTTTGGATCCTGGCCTGTAGGTGATGTGAAAAATGAATCTGGAGAAAAACAGTTCTCATCTAGCCTGGCGTGGTTTGTGACGTTTAGCAGTCCTTAAATATTCTAAATTCTTGTGATCGCTATATATCAGAATTGGATGTATGGCCCCTTCCAGCAGGTATCTCCATTCCTCCAGTGCTGTCTTTATTGCCAAGAGTTCTCGGTCCCCAATGTCGTAGTTCCTTTCAGCTGAGGTAAGTTTCCTAGAGAAGAAGGCTACTGGATGCATTAGTTCCTTCAGGCCTTTCCTTCGTGAAAGAACTGCTGCCCTACTGCGTTTTAGGACGCATCTACTTCCAAGGTGTAAGGAAGAGAGGAGTCTGCATGGCTTAAGATGGGGGCTGCTGTGAATAATTTCTTCACTGTCTCAAAAGCCGTTTGCGCCTCTGGGGTCCAATGGAAGTGGACTCCTAACTTGGTGAGGTGAGTGATAGGTGAAATGAGGCCCGAAAAGTTCTTAATGAATTTCCAGTAGAAATTTGCAAATCCGATGAACCCCTGAACTCCTTTTTTGTCTGAGGGTACCGGCCATTCCAAAATTGCTGTGATCTTTTGGGGATCCATTGCAATTCTGGCAGTAGAGATGATCAGGCCCAGGAATGGAATGCTCTGTTGCTCAAAGTTGCATTTCTCTGCCTTAGCATATAGTCCATGCTGGCGAAGCCGTCCCAGAACGCATCTCACATGGTCTCGGTGTACCTCCAGAGATGCGGAGAAAATCAGAATGTCATCCAGGTAGATGTAATATATAAATGATGTAGCGCTGTAATAACTCATGAGTATGGTTATAAACATATCACTCTACTGACATCCAAAAGATAGCAATTGTGACATATATAAGTGATGTGTGCAATATAGAATACACTTATAAATATCCAAGTGATCATAAACAAGTGATCATATCATCATTGTCACACAGTGCTTCCCTATACAGGGTTATGCATCATCAGATAAGTGACTTATATAAACAATGGTGATAAAAAGTCCACTATATTCGGTGTCAAGTTGTGTCTCAAAAATCCACACAATGCAATGATCACACCATGTGCTGCTGTGCCAGTGCAGGTAGTGAGAAGTACTCCTATATGGCAGGCGTGCCCGCTCACTTTCCCCCTGCGACCCACAGGGGCCAAATAAGCCTCTTGGATCACCCTGGATCCTACACGATTCCTCCAGGCCAGAAATGACTCCACCACCTTTCTATACTCTCTCCTCCTCCTTCCTCTATTCCTCTTTAGTCAGGCAATGGTAGGATGCTCATAAGTATGATGTTTGGGAATCCTGTGATTCACCAACCGTAGAGAAGTGCAACCATATATAAGTGTATTCTATATTGCACGCACATCACTTATATATGTCACAATTGCTATCTTTTGGATGTCAGTAGAGTGATATGTTTATAACCATACTCATGAGTTATTACAGCGCTACACATCATTTATATATTAGATTTATTAGTTCTATCTTAAGGTGAGATTTGGATGTGAGCGGCTGTTCCTTTTACTCATCCTAGGAGACATAGAAGCGCAGGAGGATTTACATATATCATCCAGGTAGATGACAACAAAAACATCCAGGTAATCTCTGAAAATGTCATTAATGAAATGTTGGAAAGTAGCAGGCGCGTTGCATAACCCAAATGGCATGACCAGGTATTCAAAGTGGCCGAAACGGGTGCGGAAGGCCGTTTTCCATTCGTCCCCTTCCCGTATGTGGACCAGGTTTTATGTCCCTCTCAAATCCAACTTGGTGAAGATAGTGGCAGTCTTGAGTCTCTGGAATAGTTCAGGAACCAAGGGAAGGGGATACCGGTTCTTAACGGTAATCTTATTTAGTTTCCGATAATCCACGCAGGGCAGCAAGGACTTGTCCTTTTTTTCTACGAAGAATATTCCAGCTCCAGCTGGTGAAGTGGAGGGCCAAATGAACCCTTTCTGAAGATTCTCCTCGATATATTCCTTTAGAACTCCTAGTTCCCATTCAGATAAGGGGAAGATCCGCCCAATGGAGATTTCAGACCCGGGAAGCAAATCGATCGGACAGTCATAGGATCGATAAGGAGGAAGTATATCTGCTCCCCGTTTACTGCATACGTCAAGATAGTCATGGTAAGCTGGAGGAATTGTTTGAGAGAGTTCCGTATCAGAGTCCATGCACAGTAGGGTAGGTGGACCTGAGGATACCTTGGGCAAACAATGTTCCTGGCAGTAAGAAGAGGGAAATTGGATCGAGCCCGACTTCCAGTTAATTTGAGGTTCGTGTGCCCGTAGCCAAGGAAGGCCCAGTATGAGAGGAAACAGTGGGGCGGTGATAGCATCTAGAAGTAAAAATTCCTGATGATGGTTGGTTACTGTAGTATGGATTGGTGGGGTCTCTTTGTCTACCAGTCCGGATTTAATACGGCTTCCATCAGCAAGAAAAATGTTTAACCCGTGTTCTTTTGGCAGTAATGGGATATGTTGTTGGGCGGCAAAGTTTAAATCTCTATGAAGCAGCTGCAGGCCCCCGAGTCAATAATTGCCGTCACCTACACAGTTCTTCTTCCGGGATGCTGGAAGGAAATGGGAACAGCCAGGTGAGTTGAACTATTTGAACATGATGGAGGAGCAGCTGAAGAAACAAAGATGCACTTACGCAATTTAGCTGCTGAGCAGGAATGCACATAATGGCCTGGTTCTCCACAGTATAAAAGAGGTTGTGGACCCGACATCTTTGGCATTCCTCGGTAGTTAGTGAAGGATGTATTAGCCCGAGTTGCATAGGTTCCGGGGCATCCGTATCCTCAGAATCCCGGGTTCTAGCAGGGGGATTGTGCTGGGCTGGAAACTTGGGTAGCACCCAGGTAGGCCTCAGAGCTTGGTTGGATCTTTCCAACCTGCGTTCACGTAGCCGACGGTCAATCTGGATGGCTAACGCAATCAGATCTTCCAAGGAACCAGGTATGCCTACCTGAGCTAGCTCGTCCTTGAGGGGTTCGGCCAGGCCCAGGTGGAACTGATGTCGTAGGGCTGCATCGTTCCAGTTTGTGTCACCACTCCATCGTCTAAAGTCTGAGACATAGTCCTCTGCTGCTTGGCGACCCTGTTGAAGCGCATGTAATGCTGCTTCAGCTGTAGTTGTCCGCTGTGGATCGTCGTATAGCTGGGCCATGGCATTGAAGAATGTAGTCATGGTGTTTAGGTGTGGATGGTGACTCTTGAGCAGGCAGTGGGCCCAACCCTGAGGTTCTCCCTGCAGCAAGGAGATGATGAACCCCACCTTAACAGTCTCTGTGGAGAAAGTTTGTGCTTGCAGGTCAAAATACAGCTGACATGCGTTTCTGAATGCCCTGAATTTACTTTGATCCCCATTAAATCGTTCTGGAGTAGGCACACAAGGTTAAGGTGAAGGTAACTGGACCACCGTACTAGTACGGGTTTCTGAGGAATCACTGGCCGAGGGAGAAGTAGCCGGATCTGTTGGTACAGAAGCGGGTGTAGCCAAGGTTTGGATACGTTCTTCCAAATGTGCATATCCATCCTGTAAGATCTTAACAGCCTGGGTAAGTGCGGTCAAATGATGACATATCTCATCCAGGGGAGAAGGTCCTCTTCCAGGCTCAGACATGGCCGTATGGTACTGTCACGACTCTAGCGGTAGCTCTATAGGTCCACAGTTTGGGGTTCCCTAGGGCGCGGGGTCTAAGCCCCAGTCTGCTTGTTCACCAGAGCCCCTGATGGTGGGGATGGACTTGGAGCAGGCTGAGACCAGGTTGTGGCCCCAAGGTATGCCCAGCTGCGGTAGAGGAGACTTCTAGTGTCACGTAATTTAGTAGTGAGCCTGATGTGAAAAGGCAGAGCAGATCAGAGCAGGATGCAGATGGATCCATGTGGCAGGTAGCGGAGTCAGGCGGGCCGGGTTTGGTGTCCCAAAAGGCAGAGCAGACCAGAGCAGCAGGCAGAAGCATAGTCGGGTCACAGGCCAGGTTCAGCAACAGGAGGTCAGAATGACCAGGAGCAGGCAGAAGAAATATCCAGAGACAAGCCAGGGGTCAGGGCAGGAGAAGGTCAATGGTAGTCAGGAGCAGGCTAGGTTCGGCAACAGGACTCAGGGACAGACACAGAATTGTTACTGAGGGACACAGAATTGTTACTGAGGGACACACAGAATTGTTACTGAGGGACACAGAATTGTTACTGAGGGACACAGAATTGTTACTGAGGGACACAGAATTGTTACTCAGGGACACAGAATTGTTACTCAGGGACACAGAACTGTTACTCAGGGACACAGAATTGCTACTGAGGGACACAGAACTGTTACTCAGGGACAGACACAGAATTGTTACTGAGGGACACAGAATTGTTACTGAGGGACACAGAATTGTTACTGAGGGACACAGAATTGTTACTGAGGGACACAGAATTGTTACTCAGGAACAGACACAGAATTGCTACTGAGGGACACAGAATTGCTACTGAGGGACACAGAATTGCTACTGAGGGACACAGAATTGCTACTGAGGGACACAGAATTGTTACTGAGGGACACAGAATTGTTACTGAGGGACACAGAATTGTTACTGAGGGACACAGAATTGTTACTGAGGGACACAGAACTGTTACTCAGGGACACAGAACTGTTACTCAGGGACACAGAATTGTTACTCAGGGACACAGAATTGTTACTGAGGGACACAGAATTGTTACTGAGGGACACAGAATTGTTACTGAGGGACACAGAATTGTTACTGAGGGACACAGAATTGTTACTGAGGGACACAGAATTGTTACTGAGGGACAGACACAGAATTGTTACTGAGGGACAGACACAGAATTGCTACTGAGGGACACAGAATTGCTACTGAGGGACACAGAATTGTTACTCGGGGACACAGAATTGTTACTCGGGGAAACAGAATTGTTACTCGGGGAAACAGAATTGTTACTCGGGGACACAGAATTGTTCCTGAGGGACACAGAATTGTTCCTGAGGGACACAGAATTGTTACAGAGGGACACAGAATTGTTACTGAGGGACACAGAATTGTTACTGAGGGACACAGAATTGTTACACAGGGAAAATCACAGAATTGTTACTGAGGGACACAGAATTGTTACTGAGGGACACAGAATTGTTACTGAAGGACACAGAATTGTTACTGAGGGACACAGAATTGTTACTCGGGAACACAGAATTGTTACTCGGGAACACAGAATTGTTACTCGGGAACACAGAATTGTTACTCGGGAACACAGAATTGTTACTCGGGAACACAGAATTGTTACTCAGGGACACAGAATTGTTACTCAGGGACACAGAATTGTTACTGAGGGACACAGAATTGTTACTCAGGGACACAATTGTTACTGAGGGACACAGAATTGTTACTGAGGGACAGACACAGAATTGTTACTGAGGGACACAGAATTGTTACTGAGGGACACAGAATTGTTACTGAGGGACACAGAATTGTTACTGAGGGACAGACACAGAATCGTTACTCAGGGACACAGAATCGTTACTCAGGGACACAGAATCGTTACTCAGGGACACAGTATCGTTACTCAGGGACACAGAATCGTTACTCAGGGACACAGTATCGTTACTCAGGGACACAGAATCGTTACTCAGGGACACAGAACCGTTACTCAGGGACACAGAACCGTTACTCAGGGACACAGAACCGTTACTCAGGGACACAGAACTGTTACTCAGGGACAGACACAGAATTGTTACTGAGGAACACAGAATCGTTACTGAGGGACACAGAATCTTTACTGAGGGACACAAAATCGTTACTCGGGGACACAGAATCGTTACTCGGGGACACAGAATCGTTGAATTAAAGAGTATGTCAGACAACACGCAGAGGAGTGGCAGAGGAGGCAATGTTTCAGGAGCGAGCAGACGTGGCAGCAGAGGAAGGGGTCGAGGCAGCACTAGTCGCAGCCAGAGGCCAGTGCTCCCGGTGTCATCCAGCGGTCGTGTCTCCACCGACAACCCTGCCGTCATCGATTGGTTGACTCGGTCATCTTCCTCTTCCTAGGTCACCGCTGACACCTACAGCCAACGGTCGGTGGGTACGTCAGACACAACCGTTAGTTGGCATGGCCCGGGAGCAAGCCCACTGAAATCACGTGTCCTCTACCTGCCCCTGTCCTTTGGTGTTCCCTCACCAAGCGAAGTATCGCATGCTGTGGACTCAGCCCCACTGTACAGTGAGGAAGAGCTAACAGAGGGCGGTCAGGAACGGGGGGAGACATCCGACTCTTCAGCAGCCAGGCGAAGAAGTAGTGGCGAGGAGAGTGGCTCGGTAGCCGGTCTAGAGACAGGTCTGTCTCCTGACCCACACGCAGCCGAGGGGGCTAGTAGTGAGGCGGAGACCCTAATTGATGATGATGAGGCTGATCGCACTTGGCAGCCTCGTCGTCATCAGGCTATTGCTTCCGCATCATCAGGAGAAGAGGGTGCCAGCTTGGCAGCGAGCAAAACAGTCGGTGGGTTGCCCAGGAGGCAGCAGGGTCGCAGCAGTGTCAGTGGAGGCAAACGGCCACGGAGTAGAGCACCAGCTCCACTGCAGCCTACCACCACGGCCAGTAGTGGTGCCGGTGTGCACGGAGGAAGTAGCAGTCAGCCAGTGAGGAGTAGCGGGGGCAAAGTTTCCTACTCGGCGGTGTGGCAATTTTTCGTCAAGCCGCCCGAGGAAGTAAACGTAGCCGTATGTCGACTATGTGGCCAAGGGCATTTAAATTAAAGGTACAGTGTTCTGCACGAATATAAAGGTTCTCTGAAGCCTAGAAACACCCTTTTTATAACTTAAATTCGCAGCGAATATATTCGCATCGAATCAAACTTATTCCTCGAATTCGCCGAATCAGCCGAATCGAATTTTTGAATACTTCGCTCATATCTATCAGGAATCACAGGCAAAGGAATAAGACCATACGGCAATTTGGATCCTGCAGTGGCCCGTTTAAATAGCCCGCCCGCACCGATAGGCATGCCTGGGTCCTAGTGCCTGCCCAGCGCCGTCATTGGTGACAGGTGCGCCTGGGTCCTAGTGCCCGCCTTCCTGTATGCCTTGTCATGATCCTGCGCATGCGCAGATTCGTGCGCCGCGGCGATCTTCCCTGACACTGTTGTTGAGTCCTGCAATCACATTATGAGCTCCTTGTAAAACTATTATCTCTTTCCAATAACATCTATGAACAAGAGAAGATATGGACCCCACAATTCCTCTATATACTCCACAATTCTCCCATGTGGACACCTCGTAAGTGGTTCTCCAGTATAGACTCCCAGTTTGGGGAACTCATTTAGAAGAAGCCGTCAGCTAGAATCAAACTCACTACTCTACAGTATGGTGAAGACCAAGGAGGCCTAGCAATACCAAATGTTAGACTTTATTTTATAGCTGCCCAACTTCAGCATCTTACCAGGTGGGACTTAGTAGACACATTAGATCCCATCCATCGATTGCTACTTCCATCAGATACAGATTTCACATCACTCTCACACTTGTTAATGGGCTTCAGATGGCACCAGTGGGAAAGGCATGATCTCTCATCTATTTATTCCAGTCTTTTGACTCTTACCGAAGACTTATAGAAAGAAATGGAAAACAGTCAGAGGAAATAAGAGAAAGTGGTGGGAGATGATTTTGACCTCCATACCTCTCATCTCTCTGTCCTCTTCACAGAAACTCAGTCATTTCTTTTGCATAGAGCTTTCAGGACCCCAGCTCAATTCTTCAGCTAGGACAGGAGGGATTTCCCCTTTGACCCCACTTGTAGCGGTGATGTTGGGATTTGATACGTGTTTTGGAGATATTCAAAAAGTGGAGCGATATGACCAGTATTATAATGTTGGTATTCAATATTCCTCAGGTGTGCCTCTTGGTCTCAATAGAGGAGGAATTATTTACACCTCCTCCTATTACAAGTCATAGAGCAATAGTGAGGCTGCTGTTTATTGACCATAAAAAATATTACGATCTTGGCTATCATCTCAAACTCCCAGCAGACAACAGTGACTTGAGCAGGTGAACTCCACAATAACATGTGAAAAACAAACTTACCAACATTGTAATTCCCCCAGGAGATGTATGTCTGGCAGAACTGCCTGGATACTCCTTGTTCACTCCTGGTTAGTTCTTCATAGGCTTTTAAAATCTTATCTCTTTTAGCCCCATAGAAGGAGAACGGCCAGTTGTATCCTACTGAATGGTGACTACATTGGAGACCCATACTTGGGGTATAATCCTGTAGACACGGGCCTCATTGATCGGTGTCAGCTATCTATGTATGTACTGGGGGGAGTTACTTGCCGTGTACAGCTGAATTGTTCTAGGTTGTTTCTTCTTTTCTCTGTTCATTTGTTTATAAAAGGTAAAAGTGACACCATAGACAAAGCAAGTTATTGTTCTGTATGATCTGTAACAGTGCCACAACTGCCTATACGTGAGAATGTATGACTCCATTGTCTGGGCTGAATGTTGGGAATACTGTGCGCACTTATAAACTTTCTTAATCAAATCTATTTGATTTAAAAAATACTGTAGATAATGCTGTACATATTCTTTCTATTCATAAGATATATTTAGTAATGAACATTAAAAATAGAAAGCAACTTTATGTAGCCCTTTTATATAGAATTCTATCTTCTTTCTTTCTCTACAGGTAGATTGATGAACCAAGTTTTTGGAACTTTTTTGTCTTCATGAATACAGCTGAGTCACATGGAAAATAAAACACATGGGTGTCTTAATTGACTGAAAGTCTTTACTGCAGTTCACTGGAGGATTCACACGGGATACAAGTCATATCTGTGTTCTAAAAGTCATGGTTTGGATCCTCTTCCACATTGATCCAGCAGGAGAAAAGTAATTTCAGTGTTCTGGAAGTGACAATGGCTTTACAATAAAGTCCAACCCCAGTATACATAAGAGGAGTCATTTCATACTTCTTGTTTGTAGATTTTACAATGGAGAGAAAATATATCACACACCACAAGGCTTGCAAGGGAGAGAAGCCATATCATTGTTCTGAATGTGGCAAAACTTTGACACGCAAGACATCCCTTATAATACACCAAAGAGTTCACACTGGAGAGAAGCCATATCAGTGTTCTGAATGTGATAAAGCTTTTACACGGAAGTCAGATCTTATTAAACACATGAGGATTCACACTGGAGAGAGCCATATCCGTGTTATGAATGTGATAAAACTTTTACAGTGAAGTCATATCTTAATAGACACCAGAGGATTCACACTGGACAGAAGCCATATCAGTGTTCTGGATGTGATAAAGCTTTTACACAGATGTCAAGTCTTATCACACACCAGAGGCTTCACACTGGACAAAGGTCATATCAGTGTTCTGAATGTGATAAAGCTTTTACAGTGAAGTCACATCTTATCACACACCAGAGGAGTCACACTGGAGAGAAGTCATATCCGTGTTTTAAATGTGATAAAGCTTTTACTCAGAAGTCAAGTCTTCTCACACACCAGAGGAGTCACATTGGAGAGAAGCCATATCAATGTTCTGAATGTGATAAAACTTTTACAGTGAAGTCAGATCTTACCAGACACCAGAGAATTCACACTGGAGAGAAGTCATGTCAGTGTTCTGAATGTGATAAAGCTTTTTACACAGAAGTCAAATCTTATCAGACACCAGAGGATTCACACTGGAGAGAAGCCATATCAGTGTTCTGAATGTGATAAAACTTTTACACAGAAGTCATATATTATCACACACCAGAGGATTCACACTGGAGAGAAGCCATATCAGTGTTCTGAATGTGAGAAAGCTTTTACACGGAAGTCAGATCTTATCAGACACCAGAGGAGTCACACTGGAGAGAAGCCATTTTAATGCTCTCAATGTGACAAAACTTTTACAGTTAATGCCGGTCTAATCTATCACACGGAGGATTCACAAATTTCAGCATAGATTATATTCTGGAAAAAAGGAATATTAAATAAGTTTCAGGTGTCACAAGTTAGTTTCACATCCACAATGTCATCCCACAAGCTAGAGAAGAAGGGAGAAGATAAAATGCTACTTTAGAAGAAACAAACTAAAATCTGAGCAAACTGGAATGTAATGATCGGATGAACTGAGTTTAGTGCTTATGTCCATCAATACACACAACTAGAAGGGATTTGAATATTTTATCGCTTGACAATTTGTTTTAAGATAAGCATCAATAACTGAACAGCTTCCCTCATGATTATCATCTTTATCATGGAGCTTTGAATGAACATGTAATGCATTTTCATGATACAGCAACTGAGTTGTGTTTCCAAGCATTTTCTTCATTTCTGGATCCTGAGGTAATACATGACCAACACTGCCTCAGTACCAGAGACTAGGATGGGGTCTATTATCTTACCAAGTCTCTGAAGCCTCAGTGGAGAGTCCATTCCAGGTTCTTCTGACTATTGATACATCATCAGCCAGGCGTGAGGTCTCCAGCTAAGCCCACCTTGTCCACTCCTCCCATTACCTGTTCCATCTCCTCTCCCATTATCAATGCCTTCTTTCCACATTTCATCTCTCATTGATATTATTATTATTGTTATTATATAGGATTTATATGGTGCCAACAGTTTGCTCAGCGCTTTACAATATAACGGGAGACAATACAGTAATCATACAGTTTAATACAAGAGGGATAGGAGGGCCCTGCTCCTCAGAGCTTACAATCTAGGAGGGAGGGGCTAGTGGTACAAAAGGTAGTAACTGTGGGGGATGGACTGGTTGGAAGAGTAAAAGATTCCATTATTAGCTGAGGGCAGGATAGGCTTCCCTGAAGATATAGGTTTTCAGAAATCACCTAAAAGTGAGCAGAGTAGGCAATAGTCTGATAAATTGGGGTAGAGAGTTCCAGAGGATGGGGGAAGCTCTGGAGACGAGCATGGGAAGAGGAGACAAGGGAGCTAGAGAGCAGGAGGTCGTGCGAGGAGCGGAGAGTACGGTTTGGGTGATATTTGGAGACAAGATCGGTGATGTAATTTGGGGCAGAGTTATAAATGGCTTTATATGTTATTGTTAGTGTTTTGAATTTTCTCCGTTGGGCAATGGGAAGCCAGTGAAGGGATTGGCAGAGAGGGGTGGAGGACACTGAGTGGAGGCCAGTGGAGGGATTGGCAGAGAGGGGTGGCGGACACTGAGTGGAGGCCAGTGGAGGGATTGGCAGAGAGGGTGGAGGCCAGTGGAGGGATTGGCAAAGAGAGGTGGAGGACACTGAATGGAGGCCAGTGGAGGGATTGGCAGAGGGGGATGGAGGACACTGAATGGAGGCCAGTGGAGGGATTGGTGGAGGACACTGAATGGAGGCCAGTGGAGGGATTGGCAGAGAGGGGTGGAGGACACTGAGTGGAGGCCAGTGGAGGGATTGGCAGATAGGGATGGCTGATACAGAATGTTTTGTAAGGTGGATGATATCAGCAGCATTCATGATAGACTGAAGAAGGGATAGCCTGCAATGAGGTCGGCCAGTGAGGAGGGAGTTACAATAGTCGAGGCGTGATATAACAAGGGAGTGAATAAGTTGCTTAGTGGTTTCCGAGGTTAGGAACGGCCATATCTTGGAGCTGTTGCGGAGAGTGAAGTCTACAAGATTTGGACAGTGATTGGATTTGGGGCTGAAATGACAGATGGGAGTCTAGGATTACACCTAGCACCCTGGCATGAGGGGAGGGACTGATGGTTGTGTTATTGATCTTGATGGAGAAGTCAGGGAAGGGGGCACGGGGTGGGGGGCAATACTAAGAGCTCAGTTTTGGAAAGATTGAGTTTGAGGAAGTGGAGTGACATCCATGCCGATATGTCACTTAGTAGGGTAGTAATGCGAAAGGAGACTGAAGGGGTGAGGTGTGGAGGAGACTGAAGGGGTGAGGTAAGGGGTAGAAAGATAGATTTGTGTGTCATCAGGATAGAGATAGTACTTAAAGCCATGGGAGTTTATCAAGTAACCAGGGAGGAGGTGTAGATGGAGAAAGAGTAGGGTCCAAGGACAGAACCTGGAGGGACCCCTACAGAAAGAGGAAGTGAAGAGGAGGAGGCAGAGTTAAAGGTAACGCTGAATGAGCTCTGTGATAGGAGGAGAACCAGGAGAGCGCAGAGTCTTGGAGGCCAAGAGAGTGGAGTTTTTTTGAGGAGGAAGGGATGGTCAACCGTATCAAAAGCTGCAGAGAGGTCATGTAGTAAGAGTAAGGATCAGTGGCCATTGGTTGGGATGAGTACGGAGTAGTGGCCATTGGTTGGGATGAGTACGGAGTAGTGGCCATTGGTTGGGATGAGTACGGGGTGGCCATTGGTTGGGATGAGTACAGAGTAGTGGCCATTGGTTTGGGATGAGTACGGGGTGGCCATTGGTTGGGATGAGTACGGAGTAGTGGCCATTGGTTGGGATGAGTACGGAGTAGTGGCCATTGGTTTTAGCAGTTCATAGATCATTAGTGAGTTTTGGGGTCCAGCGAGAGCTTTTTAAGTATGGGAGTGATGTGCGCATGCTTTAGGGGGGAGTGGAAGGCACCAGTAAAGAGGTAGAGATTGAAGATGTGAGTGAGGGAGCATAGGATGGAAGAAGAGGGTGACCGTAGTAGTTGTGAGGGACAGGATCCAGGGGGCAGGTAGTGAGACGGGCTTCTGAAAAACCTTAGTTGACCTCTTTGGTAGTAGCAAGGTCAAAAGAGGAAAGTGTTGAGGAGGTTTAGTATAAGGTATGCTAAGTGGGATGGATGTCTGTGCAGTGGAGATGTCCCTATGAATTGCATCAGTCTTGTTTTTGAAATGATTTGCAATCTTGTGAGCAGTGAGTGAGGTACTGGGTGGAGGTGGAGAAAGTTGAGAGTTAGAAGTAGAGAAGAGACACAACGAGGACTGGATGACAAGCTATTGATGAGAGTGACAAAGTAGGCTTGTCTGGCAGCATGGAGGGAGGAATTGTATGTGAAGAAAGCAGATTTATATCGGGTGAATGCTTGGTGAGATTTGGTTTTACGCCACAATCGCTCCCTGGAAATTAATACAACGTTGGCACCAAAGTGTAACTATGGGCAAAATCAATAATGACATTAATAATGAAATCTGTCATTAGCAGATCAGGTTTTTGTTTTTCCGAGTCTCCTATTGTTTTATTTTTTGTTGTCCCTCCCAGTAGATATTTTTTGTCTACTTCCTGTAGAAGGCCAAGTCTTTTGGGAAAAATGGCAGTTGGAGGGGTTGGGGCAAATCCTATAACACTGCTGGGGGTGCTCACAACTGTCAGTTGTCATTCATATGGGGGGTTGGACCTTATAGAGAACCTGTTGCTGTAACTGCTGTAGAAGCGTTAGCTGAAGTTGGCTTTACTTGTTGTGTGTCTTACTTATAATCTATCTAAGACTTCCCTGTACAGGGTGACAACGCTGCTGTGTAATGTTCCTGCAGAATGATCAGGGTTGTCACCCTGTTACAGAAAGCGGGAAAATAACAGATCTACAGACAGGACCAACAGCTGATACAACTATGTTGCAGAGGGAACTCTGGGATGCTAATGACAGATTGCATTACACATTCAGTTAGCAGACTTCCTGCTGTTGGTCTGATGTTTG